CAGTTCGGTTTTCTGGGGTCCCAAAAAGAGAAAGGTCTCACGGAGTTCTCATTCTGCTGCCTCGCTGCTCCTGCAGCAAGAGTTTGATGGACGCGTGTCCACAGCACCCAAGGGGAGGTCTATTTACACTCTGTTAGTGACTCTTTAGGACTAACCGATGTTGCACTTTGCAAGGTTAGGTTCCTCACGCGAGCAAGGCTAGGTTCCTCACCCCACATCTACCCTAACCCTAACCCTAACCCTAACCCTCACCCACGGCCAAAGCACGGCCTAGCGGCCGCGAAGTGGTCGAGAACGCGGCTCAGCCGCGTTCTCGGAATGCGGAACGGCGAGAGGGCGCTGGAGAGGGTCAAGGCTAGGAACCAACGCCGGACCAATCAGAGGGCGTAAAAGCCGTTAGATAGGAAGAGTCACTAACAGACTGCAAAAACTGCTGCCCAAGGGCCACGTGTTGACGAATGCACAGTGTGATTCATGCAGCCCGCATCGGAGGGGGTCACGCGGCATAGGAGGGCAGCAGTTAGCTACATCGAAATTCGGACCTAGCTAGCAGACATGTCGTCGCTTTTCTCCCGCCCACCCACCCCTTTTCGATCGAATGAAATGTTAGGAGTGAGAGGACTCACTTAGGAGTGGCCTCTTAAAATTTATGTGACTCGGAGTTGGTGCAACCTTTGCCACGCACAAGTATGGCGTAGCGTGGGGTGTTTTTCTGAATGTTAGTGCGTACCATTGGGAGGCTCAATCGTCCGAGACTGCTACTGTACAACAGTTTCGTTCTGTCTGGAAGTATTCTGAGGGAGATTTCGTGTTTTAGTAGCAGAGATACGTTAGGATACCGCGGAGGCTTTGTGCCGTGCGGAGCGTGTGATACGGGGGAAATCTCCCTCCGTAGGCCACAGAAAATATTAATCAAGGCAATTCGAAAGAAAACAACAAAGTCATCTTTGAACACAGTTGAACAGCAGGCATGCTCCGTGATACATACATTGCCTTGTCCCATTGGTTGGTACCGAGTTTCTGGTTCGAACGCTACGCCATCTTTCAACTCGGTGTATTCTGGATTGTTGGTTGAAGAAATGCTTCCGGGGGTGGATCGACGCAGGACCCCAGGGTAGCAAAGGGGGGCTGTTTGGGTCTCCCACGCTTTGTACAGTTTTCCATAACGACCCCTGGGACTCCCATGGGTCACCCATGGGTCACCCATGGACCGCCCATCGGCACCCCGTTAGGCCCATGGGCAGCCGATATGGGCTGCCCATGAGCGTACCCATGGGTAGCCCGTGGGCAGCACATGGGAGGCCAATGAGAGCCTTTCAACCGAACCAGTGTACTCCTAAACAATAGATTAACTGCTTTGGGACGGGCACTATAGCGGCTAATAACCCTAACGCTAACCGTAACTCCAACCCCAAGCCCACACGATACGCGCTAGGTTGATATGCCGGTGGCGAAGTTCAAGGTTGAAGTCCTCACTGTGGGCACTTCATGGGCAGCCCATGCATGACCCATGGGCAGTTCAACAAAACTGTAAGTAGTGTAGGAGATTTGCCCGTTTCTCGACTTTACATGAAGCAACCGCACCCTTCCCAATACCCCGGTAAAATATTCTTAGGCACCGTGCAGCACCGTAGCAAACGGCCAGATGAGCATTCCGTATTGCTTTGCGTGGGACAACCAAAAGGGGAACACATGCACTGATGGGGACGACGTGAAACCAAGCCAGTCGTCTCAATGCGTTTGCGACGAAGAAGGATTCACCGTCCCGGAGGAATGCCTGGTGAGTTTCTCGTTGCTCGGTGCAAGTGCCCCCGGTCTGTGATCAAAACCTAGGGAAGCAGCGCCAACATTTCGCCCCCGTCTATTGGTTGGTGATGCTCCGCCGACGATCTACTGCAACCCTCCCATGTTCAACTAGAAATCGTCCGACCCGCAGCCCTTCTACAAACATGTACAAATTTCCGTAAATCCTTCCGCCCGCAATATGTTGCACTTATGTTCACAGCATCCACGTTTGTCGAGCTGGTCACGCTTCAATATCAATGGGTCAATTCGAAAGACCCTTCATCAGATGACGCCCTCATCTTCTGACCCATGAAGAACCAATGTTGTCATTGCATGGAAAGCGCACTGACCCGCTCCATTCTCATGCCTGATTCATGACCTATTCCTGTCTCGATTTCGAACGGAATACCGGGGTAAAGAGGAGACGCGTTACGCCGTTTGTTTGTCTCGCGTGCAAGGCCGATTCGTTCCCGCCTGTTGCGCGCTCTCTTGCTGGCAACATTCATGAGCAGCTGTGATCGGCGTACCTTGTGTTTGTCGGGTGGCAACTGCTTTGAAACAAAACCAAAACGTACCAAGTAGTCTGTTTTGTGCTGGGGTGTGGCCAATGTTGACACGATCGGATTCTTTGTCGGAGGCGCCCTTGCACATAACCTTGACTCGTGTATTGTTGGTGTGAGACGTCACAGGGTGCTCGGGTCCCCGCGACATACAGATGACAGTACCATCACCCCCACGTGTGTACATAGATCTCCTCGAAACCATCAACACCAAGTACCACAAACATAGTCTTGATTCGAGAGACCTTGACCCCGGCGCACTCCAAAATACTGAATCACCAAAATATTTCTGGGACTCTAGGAGTTGTCGGCGACGGGCAAAACGATGGCCATTTTCGTATCGGTGATTCGTCCACGGAGAGTTGACGTCGGGGATGATAAAGACGCACTTGCATTCCCGCTTGCTGAGGAGGCCCCATAAAAGGTAGTCTCGAACCTGCCCAATTTTCCGAAGTTACCCTCGTGGCATTGGTACGATGGTCCCTTGATATGCATTCTCCTGAAGCAATTAGTTCATAGTTGCTGCTTACCCCGGCACAGTTTTGCCTGACCTTCCTTTGTCATTTTCTCTGACTACGCCGCCAGTTGACTTACGACGTGAGTACTGCATGCAAGGCAGACGGCACTACGACGGAAATCGATATCACGATCACCGGATCAAGTGAGTCCTACACTTCCCCACAGGAACGGTGTGAACCGGAGGATCGATTTGCAATGGTAAAGATTTCACCTACACAATCGAGAATATCAATGACATGCGATCGAGCGCGTTTGGCGTATTTTTCGCCCACCTTGGCTCGATATGACCACAACACTTTCTCCGTCCACACCAGCAATCGCTCAACAACGGGAGGCGACTTCACGGCTGCCACACGCATGCCTGTTAGACAGGCTCGATTACGACGCCAACAAGAAACCCAATCACAGATATATCAATGTTTAGAAAGAGCGGTTGGTGATGTCTAGTTGAAGTCTCATTTTTTTTTTACCACCACACATACTACGGTGAGTGAATGCGGCATCCCGACGCATTGTTGAACTGCTGCGAGAACACGTTCAGGCTCGCCAGGAAGACCAACCCGCCGTTGGCGATTGGTAAACAGTGAGTTAAAACAGGGAAGAAAGGACGGGTTTCAACAAACAAAATTCATCGCTCGGTTGAGGGTCCGTCTCGATCGGTAGGTTTGACGTCATCCAGGCCCAACTCTAAAACTCTCGAAATCGAACCCCTACCCCTTCCATGTTTCCGTTTCGTCGCGGCAACAACCTCTCGACATTTCAGTTTCCTACGCGTACGCGATAGTCGCCGATGGAGACGAGGCGTCCATCTTCACATCTGCCTCCGGTACAGTAACGCTGGACGAGTTCCTGGCGAGTGGGACCGACTATGTGTTAGCCGTGGAAGACTGTGGGATAGTGACGACAACGGCCTTCTCAACCGACTGCGTCGGTGTGGTTCCGTGCGTGGTGCGTACACCCAACCGTTTCGCGAACTCACGAAACACAAATGTATTCGCATTTTTTAAGACCAGGGTAAAGTCGCACTCGTCCGACTGTCAGTCTGCCGTCCCCGTTCGCTTTCCCGTTCGCTTTCGTTCTGGGCTGCTGCTGTCGTGCCCAAAAAACAGTTCTAATTCGTCGCACACACTCTCTTGTTTTCGGTGTGTACAAGACCGCACAAAGCTCTGTTGGGTTGTCGGTGTGGAATGTGGAATACGCGGCGGGCGAGGGTTCGGGAACCTTGTCTCATGCGGTAGCTCCTCCAACACACGCAAGCGGACCCAACATGTGGCAGACCCTTCCTCGTTGATGCTCACCTCCAACCCGGTTTTCGGTACCGTTGCCCAGATGATGTCTCTCGGCGTGCTTTCGGCACTAACTCCAGAAATGCTTTGCGCAATAATAATGGACCTTCGTACGATACCCCTCCCCCGTCATGCTTGGCGTTGATCATGTTCTGGTGTGTGTTGCGAATTAGGACGACGGCGACTGCTCAGCTGAGCCTCATTTCTGCTGCGAAGGCAGCAACGTCTGCCAAGTCGACATCCTGACTCCCTGCGGTGAGACCGTCCTCCCCTGCTTTCGTGTTCGCTCATTATCCCGTCGAATCGATAGGCAACCCCCTCGGGTCTGCACACAGCAGCCCCGCACCTGGCCGCACTGTTAGATCCATCGGTATCGCTATTGAGCCTTTTCCGTGAATTATGAAGCTGTTGGACGACCATCACGAAAACCTCTCTCAACACCTCACGGTACCTGATTTGAATGCACACTCGGCATCTACCTGAATTTCTATTTTCGCCCGTCGTCGATACCCAAACTTCGCGTTGTTGCGCGGGCACCACGTGTTCTCGTGCCCCGATCACGGCCACTTCAGCCACACCTGCCCCCCTAACACCTTCGCCAACGACGTCGGCTCCAAGCACTCCAGCACCGACAACACCGGCACCGACACCAGGTGAGAAGCAGCCGAAACACCAGGCGGTTCTGAAGGGTCCGAGCGTCGGCAACCGCAGTCATCACAACTTGTTCCCCTTGCCCTTCCCAAGGCGTATCCCGAGTCGTTCGAAGCGGTTCGAGAGTCACCTCCGGGGGACGTGTGGATACGCACGTTGCGGGAGGCTCACGCAAATTGCTTCCGTTGCCCTCGCTTGCATTCAAAATTTGTTCCGTTCGCTTCCCCCGACGCGTCATTGTTTTCGTAACTCACCCATCCTCCGTGCACGTGTTGTCATGCTCCGATCACGGCCACTCCAGCTCCAACAACACCTTCGCCGACGACATCGGCTCCAAGCACTCCAGCACCGACAACACTGGCACCGACACCAGGTGAGGAGCAACCGAAACACCAGGCGGTTCTGAAGGGTCCGAGCGTCGGCAACCGTAGTCATCCCAACTTGTTGCCCCGCCCCTTCCCGAGGCATAACCCGAGTCGTTCGAAGCGGTTCGAGAGTCACCCCCGGGGGACGTGTGGATACGTACGTTGCGGGAGGCTCACGCAAATCGCTGCCGTTGCCCTCGCTTGCATTCAAAATATGTTCCGTTCGCTTCCCCCGACGCGTCATTCGTTTCGTAACTCACCCATCCTCCGTGCATGTGTTGTCATGCTCGATCACGGCCACTCCAGCTCCAACAACACCTTCGCCGACGACATCGGCTCCAAGCACTTCAGCACCGACAACACTGGCACCGACACCAGGTGAGAAGCAGCCGAAACACCAGGCGGTTCTGAAGGGTCCGAGCGTCGGCAACCGTAGTCATCCCAACTTGTTCCCCCTCCCCTTCCCGAGGCATAACCCGAGTCGTTCGAAGCGGTTCAAGAGTCACCCCCAGGGGGACGTATGGATACGCACGTTGCGGGAGGCTCACGCAAATTGCTGCCGTTGCCCTCGCTTGCATTCAAATCAAAATATGTTCCGTTCGCTTCCCCCGACGCGTCATTCGTTTCGTAACTCACCCATCCTCCGTGCATGTGTTGTCATGCCCCACGGCCACTCCAGCTCCAACAACACCTTCGCCGACGACATCGGCTCCAAGCACTCCAGCACCGACAGCACTGGCACCGACACCAGGTGAGGAGCAACCGAAACACCAGGCGGTTCTGAAGGGTCCGAGCGTCGGCAACCATAGTCATCCCAACCTGTTCCCCCTCCCCTTCCCGAGGCATAACCCGAGTCGTTCGAAGCGGTTCGAGAGTCACCCCCAGGGGGACGTATGGATACGCACGTTGCGGGAGGCTCACGCAAATCGCTGCCGTTGCCCTCGCTTGCATTCAAATCAAAATATGTTCCGTTCGCTTCCCCCGACGCGTCATTGTTTTCGTAACTCACCCATCCCCCGTGCATGTGTTGTCATGCCCCACGGCCACTCCAGCTCCAACAACACCTTCGCCGACGACATCGGCTCCAAGCACTCCAGCACCGACAGCACTGGCACCGACACCAGGTGAGGAGCAACCGAAACACCAGGCGGTTCTGAAGGGTCCGAGCGTCGGCAACCGCAGTTATCCCAACTTGTTCCCCCTCCCCTTCCCGAGGCATAACCCGAGTCGTTCGAAGCGGTTCAAGAGTCACCCCCAGGGGGACGTATGGATACGCACGTTGCGGGAGGCTCACGCAAATCGCTGCCGTTGCCCTCGCTTGCATTCAAAACAAAATATGTTCCGTTCGCTTCCCCCGACGCGTCATTCGTTTCGTAACTCACCCATCCTCCGTGCATGTGTTGTCATGCCCCACGGCCACTCCAGCTCCAACAACACCTTCGCCGACGACATCGGCTCCAAGCACTCCAGCACCGACAACACTGGCACCGACACCAGGTGAGGAGCAACCGAAACACCAGGCGGTTCTGAAGGGTCCGAGCGTCGGCAACCATAGTCATCCCAACCTGTTCCCCCTCCCCTTCCCGAGGCATAACCCGAGTCGTTCGAAGCGGTTCAAGAGTCACCCCCAGGGGGACGTATGGATACGCACGTTGCGGGAGGCTCACGCAAATTGCTGCCGTTGCCCTCGCTTGCATTCAAATCAAAATATGTTCCGTTCGCTTCCCCCGACGCGTCATTGTTTTCGTAACTCACCCATCCCCCGTGCATGTGTTGTCATGCCCCACGGCCACTCCAGCTCCAACAACACCTTCGCCGACGACATCGGCTCCAAGCACTCCAGCACCGACAGCACTGGCACCGACACCAGGTGAGGAGCAACCGAAACACCAGGCGGTTCTGAAGGGTCCGAGCGTCGGCAACCGCAGTTATCCCAACTTGTTGCCCCGCCCCTTCCCAAGGCGTATCCCGAGTCGTTCGAAGCGGTTCGAGAGTCACCCCCAGGGCGACGTGTGGATACGCACGTTGCGGGAAGCTCATGCGGATCGCTGCCGTTGCCCTCGCTTGTCAATATGTTCCGGTCGCTTCCCCCGACGCGTCATTCGTTTCGTGTCCCGACTGTCCCGCAAGCTCCCGACACCTGGTGAGGCCGTAGCTGCCGCTAGTTTCCACAAAGTTGGAACCGATACTTGTGGAATACAATGGCAAGTGAACCCACAGACTAAATACAGGCCCCACGACAGTCTTGAGGTATGGTGTTTGCCTCGTAGCTTCAAGTGGGAACAACCCGATTCAAAAGAACATGAGAAAAGTTTGACTTCTGACCGGAACATGTGTCTACCCCAACCCTCACAAACATGGTCCGCCCCCGCCCATGTTCGGTGCATGTGTTCTCATGCCCCGACCACGACTGCTTCAGCTCGAACACCGGTACCTGCCACGCCCGCCCCGCAGCCGCCGGCAATTGCCCCGGAAATGTTGTTTTCGGGATTGATCGAAACTGCCGACGGCGCGTGGGAGGCTGTCTACAACCCGGACGGCACCCACGTGTACCTTACGGGGAAGGAGACCAACAGCATCGTCGTGTTCGACGTGGATCCCTCGGACGGCAGACTGACGATGGTAGGCGAATCTGCCATGGACAACAACAGCGCGGCGGAGGCAGGGGCTCTCGACGGCCCCACCGCGCTAGCGACGTCCCCGGACGGGCGATGCCTCTTCGTGGCGGCCGTGGGCAGCAGCTCGCTGACGAGCCTGAGAATAGGCGACGGCTCTATCGGCGGCGGGGAGGGAACGGGTAGCCTGAGCTTTTCGGCCCGTGTGAGCGATACCGCGCTGGCGGACACCTGGGACGTCGTCGTCAGCCTCCCGTCGGGAGACCACGTGTACGTGTCGTCCCCGGCGTGCGGGTGCATCATGACATTCGCTGCGGACCTGGACACGTGTGGGTTGACGTACCGGTCCAACGTGACCTTTTCTCTGGTCGCCCCGGCGGGAATGTCTGTCTCGCCGGATGGGTCACTCCTGTACGCGACGGACTCCGCGATGTCCGGCGGAGCTCTCGCGTTGTTTGGCACGGACCCGGACACCGGAGAGCTGGAGCTGCTACAGGCCATTACAAACGGAGCAGCTGCGGGATAGTAAGCCTCCACAGGGATAGAAGTTCCGTTTGCTGAATTGGTTTGCTCTGTCTCTGTGGCTTGTTTCAAAACGCTCGAACGGCACTCGAACAAGAGTTTGCGGCAGACAGAAGGCACTGCTATTGCCGTTGTCAGACGGACATGCCATAGCACTCCATTCCAAAGATGCGGTGTACCCCCAACAACGATGGCGGTCCCACACTTGGTGCAGACGAATTCTGCCGGGTTACATCCCAAGGCGACCGGAGCAGCAAGTGCTTCTAGCAATACCAGTCCGCAACCGCGCACCAAGCAAAGGCTTACTAACGCTCCCAGGCCAAAACCAATCTTCCCGACGATCCGTGTCTACCCTCGCACGCAGCGAGCTAGGCGGTGCCGTATCTGTGGCCGTCAGTCCCTCCGGAAAGGACGTGTACGTAGCTTCGTATTACCCGGGAGCCTTGGTGCACTTGTGCGTGGACGAGAGCAGCGGGGAGCTACAGGCGGTGGAGTGGGAAGACAACGCGACTCCCACAGGCCTGAGCATGGATGGGGCGTCGATAGTGAGTTTGAAGTGCTTCCAGCATCCCCTCATGTCCTGCCGGTTGTCGTCGCGTAGTTAGTGCGAGATCGGCGTCCCTTGGCACCATCACACGTCAGCAGCTAATATGTCAAGTATGCTTGCCCCATGGAAAGCGCCAGACCGTCTCTCTACACCAACCTCTTCTTCTCCATTAAATAATGAGGTAGAGGCGAGACTTTTCACCTATATCTAGTTCTGGAGATACGTACTACAGAATGATTATATACAACCTGCAGTACCTTGTTTCCCTCAGGTTACTGTCAACCCGAGCAACTCTCGCGTCTTGGTGGCAAGCACGACAAACAACACGCTGTGGGTGCTGGACAACGTCAATGACGACGGTAGCAGCGGCGGATGCGCGATTCTCGAGCTGCAGGTTTGTTCGCTGACCCAAACGTAATGCCATCTCGCCCAGCAAACTTGAGCGAGCATAACGCTGCTCTCATACCCGCGAAACACCCTTTCCCCACGCGTCGGGTAGAACCTGGTGGGTAGAACCTGATTTATCGAGCACCACATTTGTGGTGTTATCATGTTTTGGAGGACCGGTTCAAGAGACAAACTCCTCAAGTCTAGCAACTTGTGGATTTTCGGCGCAACTTCCTGCGGGACGCAGTGGGAACAACTGCAATGCAGTGCTACTTCTGGGTGCAATGTAGAGAATTTTCGTCTTCATCTCAATCGAACCCACCGGAAATTGGGGCTTCACACGGCACCAGGGATAGAGGACGCATCCTCAATGGCAACAACAAGCTCTCAGAACACGACAAAAACAGTTATTCGGCGCCCCTGAAGACTCGGCCACACGCGAAGAATGCCACACTAAGCGTTGCCCCCTTCGCCGGCTAAGTTTCATCAAATATACCACCCGCTGACAACACACGATGTCGAACAACAAAACAAAAACTACAGGACACGATACAGGAGGGCGACGAGGGCGACATCACGGGCCTGGCCGGCGCCAGGAGCATCTCCGTCAGTCCCGACGGTGGCACGGCCCTCGTGGTCAGCTCCGTGACCGGCACGATCGCGGTATTCCGTGACACCGCCCTCATGGAAACACCGGCACCCACCTCGGACGGAGAAAGCATGCCTTCGCCCTCCTCGGAAGAGTGGTACGAAGAGCACGCCGGTTGGCTTGGGGTGGGTGCGGCTTTAACCGCCGTAGCGGCGGGCGGCTTGGTCTCGGTCTTGATCGCGAACAGTGGCTGTGCGTGCAGCTTTGTTGGCGCCGCCATTTCGTGGAAGAAGAAGAGAGTCGACTGCCCGGCGTGCAAGAAGAAGGTGGACGTCAAGCGGAAAGGGCTCGAGACCCGCGCCCGCTGCTCGTGCGATGTCCGGCGCGCCAAGGCGGAAAGGGAGGCGACCGGAGACGGGCAACGGAGAGGCACCAAGGGGCTGAAACCGATGGCAACGAGGGGAGGGTGTGAGGAGAACATAATGTTCGACCCGGACCCCAAGCACGTCGCGATGTGTCCACACTGTGAGATCGTGTTCTGCGCCCCGTGTGACATCCGCGACAGAAAACGAATGTTTCCTTTCCTTTTCGAGAACAGTCCCAACGGTGTCGAGGAGGAGGAAACAAGAGCAGCGGTTGATCCTTCGGCCGAAGAGTTTGGGATAGACGAAGCGGGAAGCGCGCCGACTTCCCCGTAAGCATCGCGGCTTCTTCTGATTCGCCGAGTAGAGCAAAACATGAGAAGGGCGCCTGAATAAAGAGCTTGTCCGGCGGAAGGGCACGGACGGGGTACGAGTTATATATAGTGATTTCGACGCTCTGGATGGAGGGTGTTTTCCAAATGGGTGCCTCAACAACTGGGAGAGATGGCAAGCATGAGATCAAGGATAGGGTTGAAATGCCAGTGGTCGTTTAGGACCATAAGGCGGACACTGCAAGAAACTTGGGCTGTCAGTTTGAGGGATTCGGCGTGCAACGAAGTTGGTGTGTAGGACGAGGGTGCGGATATTTAACCCGCCCAACGTGTTGGACCGATTGGATTATTCCAAAGCTCTACGTCGAGACGTTGATCGTGATAACAGTTACTGCTCGTTGGATGGCTGGCTGAAGGAAAAAATCTCACCACTGCAGTCGCCGAAAACTACGGTTTCCGCGTGCTTGGCACGAAAAAGACCCTGATCTGCTTGGAGAATCCCTGGAGAGGGGGATCATTTTAGAGCCGCAAAACATTCTCCAGAGGGGGGATCAAGAAAGGAGGGGTTGGGGCAAATATAATACAATACTCCTATTCATTTGTTTCACCACGGGGTGGGTAGAAAGTAAGCAACTGGGACACTTACCCATGGGTATACAATTCAGGCTAACTAAGTGTAGTTTTTTTTTTTTGTTGCGGCGTAAAATGTTGATTTTGCTTGTCGCCACCATCTAGCGAAAGGGGATTGTCACCTACCTAATTAGTTTGGTGACGTTAACCACTGGTTTTGCGGATTCGAAGCCAGGGCCGCTTGTTAGTGAACATGGATTGAAGAGGACGGTGTGTGATCAGCAACCAAGAGTTGATTTTATGGTACGTGTAATTCACATGTCTTCCCATCGTCGCATCCGCCGAAAACAGCTGTTTGTTTAGAGCGTAACTCTGGATCGCCTCTCGAATATTCAGAGCCCTGACTTATAAATATCCGATCGTGTTTGGGGGCACCACGCGTGGTGGGGACTTGCCGCCTTTTTCTTCCAGGCCTCTTGGGAGTGCTGAGAGGTGTACTCCCGTACAATTGAGATTCACCATGTAACGAAATAATAGTGTCCGCTTGCGTTTTTTGGCGGGCACCTGTCAACGTCAGTTAACCATAGACTTGTATAATAGACTAGGCGGTGTTGGTCGTTTTGTGTTGGGGAACGCCAGCAGATGACCACTACACCGCCACGGATTCAGTGTCGTCGCGAGGTGGTAGATAGCATGAGGTGTGGTTCGGTAACTTGACGTCGGGGCCTGTACTTCCGTACAATTGAAATTCACCATGTAACGAAATAATAGTGTTCGCTTGCGTTTTTTGGCGGGCACCTGTCGACGTTAGTTAACCATAGACTTGTATAATAGACTAGGCGGCGTTGGTCGTTTTGTGTTGGAGGAACGCCAGCAGATCACCACTACGCCGCCACGGATTCAGTGTCGTCGCGAGGGGGTAGATAGCATGAGGTGTGGTTCGGTAACTTGACGTTGGGGCGCCTGAACCCTCCATCCATAGCGATATTTCCTACGATTCGTCTACAGTATGTAGGATTCGAAACTAACTGCACCGGTGGCCACTCGGCTACCCCTGGGGGACCCTTGGCAGGGGGTTTAACCCTGCAGGCACCCTGTGGGGGGGTTGTACAGGGTTCGGAGCGATGCCAACGTCAGAGCCTGGACCTTGGTAAGGTGTTGTCCATTGGTGGGGTCCATGGCGTTTACCTTGTACATGCCCGACACCCTGTCCGGTATTCTCGGTGATGCCCTGACAGGGTCGTGAAGTAAACAAGGTGAACACGTGGACCCTCGCAAGGTGCTAGGCCTTGCTGGGGTTACCCCTCATGATCCTGCTGCACGCCCATCACCTTGTACGGGGTA